GGCACTGCTCACCTGAGCCTTCTCCACCCCTCCCCCCTGCAGCTGAGTGCCACGCCCCCTCCACAACTGGTCTTTTAATTCAAATTTTAATTTAATTGCAGGGTCGTGGGAATTAAGGGTATCCACAAAATGGTGGAACTGCTCCCGTGAGCCATCCCAGACGCCCCAGATGTCGTCGAGGTAGCGTAAGTAGCACCTGGGGGTATTGCTACACTTTTGGAGGGCTAGCCTCTCCCAGTTAGCCATATAAATGTTGGCATAGGCCGGGGCAAACCTTTTCCCCATAGCCGTCCCTTTGACTTGTAAATAAAATTGGCCATAAAAAAAAATCGTTCCTGGTGAGGTTGATCCTCATCAGGACGCCTGGGGTCCGGGTGGGCTTCAAAAATGTCGCTGACACACCGGATACCCTCCTCTATCGGGATGTTGGTATACAGATTGGCGACATCCATGGTGAAGAGGAGACACTGAGGGGGAAGGACGAGACAACGGACCACCTCCACAAAGTGGTAGGTGTCTCTGAGGTAGGCGGGATGTAGGACAGACAGCGGGTTCAGATAGTGGTACAAAAATTCAGCCGTGTAATACGTCTCGCTGTCACAGTCAGAGACAATCGGAAATTAGATTCCGTTGAATTTTGAAGGGGACGGTCCAATTACGGGGAGTATGTAGAATTCTCTTTGTCTGGGTGGTTTGTTTCCAATTAAATATTTTTCCTGTTTTGAATTTGTGAATTTTTATTTAATGAATTATCTTAGCCACCATCGGTATAGTTTCTTTAATTTTTAGGATAAATTTTATCGTTCAATTGTCTTTCGGCTTCAAATTTGTATTGTTCCCTTTCAATAACGACAACTGCCGAACCCTTGTCGGCAGGCTTGATTATGATGTTTTTGTTGTGTTGTAGGTCCCTGAGTGCTTGGATTTCGTGTGTGGTGAGGTTGTGGTGTGGATGACAGTGGTGTGTGAATGTTTCCAGGTCCTGTTCCACCAGGGCTTCTACCTCCTGGGGTAACTGGCCCAAGGAAGGAACCCAATTGGAGCAGGACGCAAAAGGTAAGGGGATTTTTTTACAGTTTTTAAAGAATGCTGCCAATTTTAATATTCTATGATAATCAATTAGTTGCTTTTTGGGGACAAAGGAAAGGCCTCTGGCCAGGAGTTTGTGCTGTGGCCCTGTGAGGCGGAAACCCTCCGCCAACACAACCACTTGCTGTGTGTCCTGGAATGCAGCTGACTGTCCCCCCTCTAGGTTCAGACTTAGGGGGGTCCTCAGTTTAAAGCTGCACCCCAGTGGTCCAGCATGGCTACTGCCGTCTCCTCTGTCCAATGGATACCGTCCCTCTCGGTATGGAAGAGGTGGTCCGGCAGGAGGGGGATAAAGGGCATATTTTTTAAAATATGCTCATTTAGAATGAGCAGATTTTCTTGTTCGTCCGCAGGGAGGTCCGGGGAGAAGTTGACGAGGGGGATCCATATGCTGGCGTACGGGAACCGCCTCTTCGTCGCCCTAAGAGCCCCCTGCAGGTTCTTAATAGTCGTTTCCCGTACGTTGTAGGACCGACTATTGATCCCGAAGGCCAAAATGACCTTTTCAACCTCCAGGTCAGCTGGCGGCTCACACTTCTCGATGAGGGCCTGTGCGTGCCTGAAGTGGGCCCCCGGGAAGCTGTCGATTTGGAGGTCGACACAGCTATAAGCCGGGAACCTGGCCAAATTAGAGTCCCCTATGATGACCCACTTTTTTTCAATCTCCAGGTTCCAGTCCGTCAACTTCCTCATGGTGTTGGCGTGACACAGAGGACGGAACATTGCTGGACCTGGAGAGGCTGAGTAATAGGAGTGGCCCAGGGGTTCCTCTAGGCAGGAGGTTTCAGACTCCTGGTCCTGCCTAGTCTGCCTCCTCCTCTCTTCCTCCGCCTGCAGCTCGTCAAAGAGAGCCTCCAGATTGGAGTGCTCTGATTGGTGAGCAGGCGAGAGGTGAGGACTGTGAGGCTGTATGGCCTCTGTGGAAAAGTCCACTAACAGGACTTCCCCAGGGACCTCAGGCCTGAGGATGTCCTGTGGCAGACCCTGTTCCGCTGGAGGGGGTGCCATGATAAGCTCTCCCTCAGGTAGGGAATCCAGGTCACCTGCCTCCGTCACAGTTGCGACGGAGGCAGCGTGGTTAGGTTGGGGCGGGGCCTGCTCCAGCTCACTGAGGTGTCGACGGAGGCAGCGTGGCTTGATTGGGGTGGGGGCGGGGCCTGTGGGCCGGGCTCCACGACTGACTGGTCCTGTGGGTCCGCGGCCTCCGTGCTCCGGTCCTCTGGCGCTGCTTTGGGCTGTATCGGCGCCTCAGCTGCGTCAGGGTTGGCCAAGCGGGTCGAAATCAGGGATTCCGCTTTTTGGATTTCCTCCTGTGTGACCATATTTAAGTTTTTATTGGCCCAACGGACAGCCACCTCAAAGGCTGCCCTCCAGTCCGGGGTCAGGTGGGCCGGGAGATTGCCAAGGAGCCCCTCGAGGCTCAACTCATAATGATCCCGCAGGATCAAATAAGTGTTGTGGCCCCAGTTTTTGGCATTGCCAATTATTAGGTCACGTGTGTGGGTTTTGTAATTGTTTTAGATCAATTTTATTTATTTTTTAATAATGAAAAGTAAAAGAAGTGAAAAAAATTAAAAAATAATTTTTTAGAAAAAATATATATTATTAATTTTAAGCTACTTTATGTGCAGGGGACAGGACAACGTTTTGACCTGAAAAGGTCTTCCTCAGGTCCAGCACATGAAAAAAACGGGGGAGGAGGTCTGCTCTCTCTGGAGTCCTGAGCAGCAGCTGCAGGGAGCCGGCTTTTATAGGGTGCCGGCTCCTCCGCCTGACTACGGAACGGAACTCCTGTTCCATAGTCAGAACTTTTTAAATGCGTTTTATTTAAATTTTTTAATGAAATAATGATTTTACCCTTTATCAATTTTTATCAAAATATGTATTTAACAAAAATAAAATTGTTGTTTTTTTATTTTAATCATAAATCAACTTATTTTTGTAACAAACGTATTTTTAGTAATCTTAATAGAATTTTATAATGTTTTTAATTGTTTTTAAGGTTTTTATGTATTTCTTTGTCTTTTAGTACTATTTTTTAAAACTTTCTTTGGTCTTTTTAAATGTTATTGTTGTGTGTAATAATAGAATGGTAATAAAAAGAAAATAAAGATGAAATGGTCTGTTTTTTTTTTGGGGTGAATTTTTGAAATTTTTTTAATTAAGGGGTTAAGGTAGTTACCACAGATAGGGTTAGGGTTAACAAATTAGGTTTAGTACAAGGTCAAAGATTAGGGTTAGAGATAGCCTGGGCGTCCTGAACACGAGTAACAAGCTCTCTCCCTCAAGCCTTACCCTAACCCCTAATCCTAACCTTAACCCTAACCAAAGTGAAACACACCATGGAGAGAGCTGTAACACCTCCCAGGCCAAGCCACCAGCCTGGTTCCCATCCAGTGGTCCAGAGCCCTGACCTCTGAGCCCATGGCTGACAGCTGCTGCCCACTGCTCTGACCGGAGCCAGACTGGAGCCTCCCGCTGGACACAGGCCACCTCTGAAATGTGGTCCAGAACCAGGATCAGCAGGGTCCAGACTCACCTTCATCATCCAGCCGTACAGAACGGATCTCTGCGTCATCATGGGGATCACACCCATATTCTCCTGCTCAGTATTTCAGACTGGGAGGACACCTGTTGTCGGACGTTCTGAGGTGGTCTTTCTGTTAGTAATAAGAAGCAACGCTGTCCAGCAGCAGAGGACCGGTGGTCTTTACCCTCAGCTGGTCCTCAATCAGGACACCAAGACTGCAGCTGCCTTTGATGGAGCAGATATTCAGTTCGGATGTGAGTCCTGAGACTGGTTTTGCTGGAAAGATGAGTGTCCAGATGGTCCAAAAGATCCAGAAGGTCCAGGGTGCTCCGGAAAGCACCGGAGCAGGCTGCCCCCCCCACTCCCACGTTGGAAAGAACCCAGAAAGCACAGAACCCAGGATGATTTAAACCATTTATTCAGAGAACAGAGAGCAGCTTGTGGTCCCAGCAGGACTCAGAGCTCTGGCCCGGTTCTGGTCCGGTTCTTCAGGCCCTCAGAAGTAGCCTGTGGGGTCTCTCTTGTTCTGGTCCGGTTCTGCAGGCCCTCAGAAGTAGCCTGTGGGGTCTCTCTTGTGGCTCATCTGCAGGTGGGAGGTGATTCCCGGGTACAACATGGGCAGCATGGTCCCGACCTGCTGCCCCCCCCCCACCGGCCCGGAGCTCCGGTCCGGACTCACGTAGAACAGCCTGAAGCACAGACCTGCGGGGAGAGGCACGAGCTGTGGGTCAGAACCGTGGTGGGCCAGGACCAAGCTAGAACCAAGCCAGAACCAGGCTAGAACCGAGCCAGAACCAGGCTGGAACCAAGCCAGAACTGGGACAGAACCGAGCCAGAACCAGGCTGGAACCGAGCCAGAACTGGGACAGAACCGGGCGGCGGGGCCGTGGACCCCCCCTCTCCTCTCAGGTTGGTTCCCGGGTCGATGGCGGCCCTCTGGGGGTGGCTGTGGACGAGCAGCTTCCCGTGCAGCGTGGCGTCAGACGGGGCGTAGGCGGCGAGCCGTCGGCACACGATGTCCAGCCCTCTGTGGACCCGCCGTCCTGAAAGCAGCGGGCAGGCCAAGGTCAGACTCAGGGGAAGGTCAGGCCAAGGTCAGAACAATGTCATGCCAAGGTAATTTCAAGGTCAGATCCAAAAAGTCAAGGTCGGATAAAAAAAAAAAAGAGTCAAAGTCATTATTTTAAGGTCAGACCAAAAAAAGTCAAGGTAATTTCAAGGTCACACAAAAAGTCAAGGTCATATAAAAAATAAGTGAAGGTCATTTCAAGATCATAATTATTCTAGGTCATTTCGAGGTCACACAAAAAGTCTAGGTCATATAAAAAAAGGTAAAGGTCATAAAAAGTCTATGTCATACAAAAATGTCAAGGTAATTTCAAGTTCATATTTTAAAAAGTGCAAGGTGAGATTTAAAAAAAGTAATGTCAAGGTCGGACTTAAACGAAGGTCAGACTTGTGCTGAGTTGTTGGACTCTTACCGGCTGGCTCCATAGTCTCCCTGCATGTGGATGTCTGTCCTCCTGTTGTCGGGGTTCCCTTCACACAGCTGCCCGAACTCCACAGCGCCGCTAATGCCTAGAACAGCTGCAGACACACAGAAGGTTGGTACCGACCTACATAATCCCCTCATCCATTAGGGGGGGAGGTCCTCTCCACCTGGACAGCCTTCATCACCTGGAAAATGAAGAATGTAAGGAG